TACTCTCGGGTAAGAGTTTGGTCAGTGGGCAGTGAATCCTCTAGATCTACTCTCGTGTAGGAGTTTGGTCAGTGGGCAGTGAATTCTCTAGATCTACTCTCGGGTAGGAGTTTGGTCAGTGGGCGGTGAATCCTCTAGATCTACTCTCGTGTAGGAGTTTGGTCAGTGGGCTGTGAATCCTCTAGATCTACTCTCGGGTAAGAGTGTGGTCAGTGGGCTGTGAATCCTCTAGATCTACTCGCGGGTAAGAGTTTGGTCAGTGGGCAGTGAATCCTCTAGATCTACTCTCGGGTAAGAGTTTGGTCAGTGGGCTGTGAATCCTCTAGATCTATTCTCGGGTAAGAGTTTGGTCAGTGGGCTGTGAATCCTCTAGATCTATTCTCGGGTAAGAGTTTGGTCAGTGGGCTGTGAATCCTCTAGATCTATTCTCGGGTAAGAGTGTGGTCAGTGGGCTGTGAATCCTCTAGATCTATTCTCGGGTAAGAGTTTGGTCAGTGGGCTGTGAATCCTCTAGATCTACTCTCGGGTAGGGGTGTGGTCAGTGGGCATTAAATCCTCTAGATCTACTATCGTGTAGGAGTGTGGTCAGTGGGCAGTGAATCCTCTAGATCTACTCTCGGTTAGGAGTTTGGTCAGTGGGTAGTGAATCCTCTAGATCTACTCTCGTGTAGGAGTGTGATCAGTGGTCAGTGAATCCTCTAGATCTACTCTGGGGTAAGAGTGTGGTCAGTGGGCAGTAAATCCTCTAGATTTACTCTCGTGTAGAAGTCTGGTCAGGGGGCAGTGAATCCTCTAAATCTACTCTTTGGTAGGAGTTTGGTCAGTGGGAAGTGAATCCTCTAGATCTACTCTCGTGTAGGAGTTTGGCTGTCTATGAAACTTTTACTCTTTGGTTGATCACTGTGAGATCACATTATATAGTGTAATCAGAGCATAGTGTCATCAATTTTGTCACACATTTCCTGCACTCTTTTTTCAGTTCTTTTGCAAAATGCCCTTTTCTCCTTAACTCTAGAGTGATTTTTGTATAATCCTTCATGTCTGCTTTGTAGCGTCCATGTTTACTGTGGACAGCTACGTGTGTGGTATTGCTCCCCTCGGGAACGAGCTGGTTCTTCTGACTTATGAGAAGGACGTTCACCAAGAGGTGAGACTCCATGTTTTCTAGTCTCGTTGTTGCAAATAAAACATCCCATGCTGTAAATGATTTAATTTCATGAAAGATAATTTTTGTGTTAATTTGTGACGAACACATTTTGTAAAATGAAAATTGTTAACAAATATCATCGACAGAGATAAATACTATTGATTTTGAAATCATGTAATCTTATTTGCAAATTCAAAATCAATTCATGAATAAAACCTTGAGACATTATCCAGGAAGTTAAGTAATTTACAGAAAGAAGCACAAATATTTTTTAAGTTTTCTCAAACTTTGAAAAATATGAAAATTGTTCAAAGTAATATTAAGATTATATCATGATTTATTAAAAATAATTATAAATCAAATTAATTTGAATTCATGACAGATTTCAGCTGATTTTATGATCATCGCTGGTAAAAAATCTAACGCTGATCTGTTGTCAGGGAGATCGTCTGGTTGCCCAGCGACCACACTTACAGGTGGTGAAGCCAAGCCTAAGCGACTATGAGGAGATATCTAATGATGCCCTGTCCATCCGTGGGTTCCAGGAATACAAGTGTAACGACTACCACTTAGGTCAGTCTCTAAATACCTACCATTGTAACGACTACCACTTAGGTCAGTCTCTAAATACCTACCATTGTAACGACTACCACTTAGGTCAGTCTCTAAATACCTACCATTGTAACGACTACCACTTAGGTCAGTCTCTAAATACCTACCATTGTAACGACTACCACTTAGGTCAGTCTCTAAATACCTACCATTGTAACGACTACCACTTAGGTCAGTCTCTAAATACCTACCATTGTAACGACTACCACTTAGGTCAGTCTCTAAATACCTACCATTGTAACGACTACCACTTAGGTCAGTCTCTAAATACCTACCATTGTAACGACTACCACTTAGGTCAGTCTCTAAATACCTACCATTGTAACGACTACCACTTAGGTCAGTCTCTAAATACCTACCATTGTAACGACTACCACTTAGGTCAGTCTCTAAATACCTACCATTGTAACGACTACCACTTAGGTCAGTCTCTAAATACCTACCATTGTAACGACTACCACTTAGGTCAGTCTCTAAATACCTACCATTGTAACGACTACCACTTAGGTCAGTCTCTAAATACCTACCATTGTAACGACTACCACTTAGGTCAGTCTCTAAATACCTACCATTGTAACGACTACCACTTAGGTCAGTCTCTAAATACCTACCATTGTAACGACTACCACTTAGGTCAGTCTCTAAATACCTACCATTGTAACGACTACCACTTAGGTCAGTCTCTAAATACCTACCATTGTAACGACTACCACTTAGGTCAGTCTCTAAATACCTACCATTGTAACGACTACCACTTAGGTCAGTCTCTAAATACCTACCATTGTAACGACTACCACTTAGGTCAGTCTCTAAATACCTACCATTGTAACGACTACCACTTAGGTCAGTCTCTAAATACCTACCATTGTAACGACTACCACTTAGGTCAGTCTCTAAATACCTACCATTGTAACGACTACCACTTAGGTCAGTCTCTAAATACCTACCATTGTAACGACTACCACTTAGGTCAGTCTCTAAATACCTACCATTGTAACGACTACCACTTAGGTCAGTCTCTAAATACCTACCATTGTAACGACTACCACTTAGGTCAGTCTCTAAATACCTACCATTGTAACGACTACCACTTAGGTCAGTCTCTAAATACCTACCATTGTAACGACTACCACTTAGGTCAGTCTCTAAATACCTACCATTGTAACGACTACCACTTAGGTCAGTCTCTAAATACCTACCATTGTAACGACTACCACTTAGGTCAGTCTCTAAATACCTACCATTGTAACGACTACCACTTAGGTCAGTCTCTAAATACCTACCATTGTAACGACTACCACTTAGGTCAGTCTCTAAATACCTACCATTGTAACGACTACCACTTAGGTCAGTCTCTAAATACCTACCATTGTAACGACTACCACTTAGGTCAGTCTCTAAATACCTACCATTGTAACGACTACCACTTAGGTCAGTCTCTAAATACCTACCATTGTAACGACTACCACTTAGGTCAGTCTCTAAATACCTACCATTGTAACGACTACCACTTAGGTCAGTCTCTAAATACCTACCATTGTAACGACTACCACTTAGGTCAGTCTCTAAATACCTACCATTGTAACGACTACCACTTAGGTCAGTCTCTAAATACCTACCATTGTAACGACTACCACTTAGGTCAGTCTCTAAATACCTACCATTGTAACGACTACCACTTAGGTCAGTCTCTAAATACCTACCATTGTAACGACTACCACTTAGGTCAGTCTCTAAATACCTACCATTGTAACGACTACCACTTAGGTCAGTCTCTAAATACCTACCATTGTAACGACTACCACTTAGGTCAGTCTCTAAATACCTACCATTGTAACGACTACCACTTAGGTCAGTCTCTAAATACCTACCATTGTAACGACTACCACTTAGGTCAGTCTCTAAATACCTACCATTGTAACGACTACCACTTAGGTCAGTCTCTAAATACCTACCATTGTAACGACTACCACTTAGGTCAGTCTCTAAATACCTACCATTGTAACGACTACCACTTAGGTCAGTCTCTAAATACCTACCATTGTAACGACTACCACTTAGGTCAGTCTCTAAATACCTACCATTGTAACGACTACCACTTAGGTCAGTCTCTAAATACCTACCATTGTAACGACTACCACTTAGGTCAGTCTCTAAATACCTACCATTGTAACGACTACCACTTAGGTCAGTCTCTAAATACCTACCATTGTAACGACTACCACTTAGGTCAGTCTCTAAATACCTACCATTGTAACGACTACCACTTAGGTCAGTCTCTAAATACCTACCATTGTAACGACTACCACTTAGGTCAGTCTCTAAATACCTACCATTGTAACGACTACCACTTAGGTCAGTCTCTAAATACCTACCATTGTAACGACTACCACTTAGGTCAGTCTCTAAATACCTACCATTGTAACGACTACCACTTAGGTCAGTCTCTAAATACCTACCATTGTAACGACTACCACTTAGGTCAGTCTCTAAATACCTACCATTGTAACGACTACCACTTAGGTCAGTCTCTAAATACCTACCATTGTAACGACTACCACTTAGGTCAGTCTCTAAATACCTACCATTGTAACGACTACCACTTAGGTCAGTCTCTAAATACCTACCATTGTAACGACTACCACTTAGGTCAGTCTCTAAATACCTACCATTGTAACGACTACCACTTAGGTCAGTCTCTAAATACCTACCATTGTAACGACTACCACTTAGGTCAGTCTCTAAATACCTACCATTGTAACGACTACCACTTAGGTCAGTCTCTAAATACCTACCATTGTAACGACTACCACTTAGGTCAGTCTCTAAATACCTACCATTGTAACGACTACCACTTAGGTCAGTCTCTAAATACCTACCATTGTAACGACTACCACTTAGGTCAGTCTCTAAATACCTACCATTGTAACGACTACCACTTAGGTCAGTCTCTAAATACCTACCATTGTAACGACTACCACTTAGGTCAGTCTCTAAATACCTACCATTGTAACGACTACCACTTAGGTCAGTCTCTAAATACCTACCATTGTAACGACTACCACTTAGGTCAGTCTCTAAATACCTACCATTGTAACGACTACCACTTAGGTCAGTCTCTAAATACCTACCATTGTAACGACTACCACTTAGGTCAGTCTCTAAATACCTACCATTGTAACGACTACCACTTAGGTCAGTCTCTAAATACCTACCATTGTAACGACTACCACTTAGGTCAGTCTCTAAATACCTACCATTGTAACGACTACCACTTAGGTCAGTCTCTAAATACCTACCATTGTAACGACTACCACTTAGGTCAGTCTCTAAATACCTACCATTGTAACGACTACCACTTAGGTCAGTCTCTAAATACCTACCATTGTAACGACTACCACTTAGGTCAGTCTCTAAATACCTACCATTGTAACGACTACCACTTAGGTCAGTCTCTAAATACCTACCATTGTAACGACTACCACTTAGGTCAGTCTCTAAATACCTACCATTGTAACGACTACCACTTTGGTCAGTCTCTATATACCTACCATTGTAGTGGCTACCGCTTAGGTCAGTCTCTAAATACCTACCATTATAACAACTACCACTTAGGTCAGTCTCTAAATACCTACCATTGTAACGACTATCACTTAGAGTCTCTAAATACCTACCATTTTAAAGACTACCACTTAGGTCAGTCTCTAATACCTACCATTGTAACGACTATCACTTAGGTCAGTCTCTAAATACCTACCATTGTAACGACTACCACTTAGGTCAGTCTCTAAATACCTACCATTGTAATGACTACCACTTAGGTCAGTCTTTAAATACCTGCCGTATTTATCTAGCAATAACCTGACTATTACTTAGCCCATGTGTATTGCTTAATCATTAGTCGAGATGTTAACAATTGACCTGTAATAAGCCCACCCCTACGTGTAGATAATAAGCCCACCCCTACCTGTAGATAATAAGTCCACCCCTACCTTTAGATAATAAGTCTACCCCTACCTTTATATTATAGGTCCACCCCTACCTTTAGATAATAAGTCCACCCCTACCTGTAGATAATAAGCCCACCCCTACCTTTAGATAATAAGCCCACCCCTACCTGTAGATAATAAGCCCATCCCTACCTTNTAGATAATAAGCCCACCCCTACCTTTAGATTATAAGTCCACCCCTTCCCTTTAGATAATAAGCCCACCCCTACCTGTAGATTATAAGTCTACCCTTACCTGTAGATTATAAGCCCACCCCTACCTTCAGATTATAAGCCCACCCCTACCTGTAGATAATAAGCCCACCCCTACCTTTAGATTATAAGTCCACCCCTACCTGTAGATTATAGGTCCACCCCTACCTTTAGAAAATAAGTCCACCCCTACCTGTAGATGATAAGTCCACCCCTACTTGTAGATAATAAGCCCACCCCTTCCCTTTAGATTATAAGCCCACCCCTACCTGTAGATAATAAGTCCATCCATACCTTTAGATTATAAGCCTACCCTTACCTGTAGATAATAAGCCCACCACTACCTTTAGATTATAAGTCCACCCATACCTTCAGATTATAAGGATAAGTACAGAGTTATATTTCATCATTTAATTATAACAATGGTCATTTTATAATATACAGGTTGTAATAGAATTTCAAAAGTTATTTTCTTTACTGGATAAATTCAATTTTTTGTTGTTTTCTTATTTCCAGAATGCTTACATGCAGAGAACCTGTTCTATATTGTCAGTCCCCGTGATGTGATCGCGTCACGCCTCTGTGACATGGACGACCACATATCGTGGTTACTGGATCACGATATGTTTGAGGTCAGTACAGAGGTCAATGTCACTTGGTTCAAGCTTTTTTTTTTTGTATCAGGAGATAAATCTTATTAGAGACACCATGGAAAGCATAAGTCAGAATTACAGAAAAAGAAAGAATAGATCCCAAGCATTGCTGTAGGTAAATCAGATCGAGTCTTGTCTTATGTGGTTGAAATGGCTGTTATTAAGACAGGTTACATAAGAATATTCATGATATTTTGCCTTAAAATTTATGTTATAATGAACTGATTATCTGGATCCCATGTGCTATGGATGTGGTGAGAATATAATATCTGTTACAATATGTATTCATGTGCATACATATATTTGGAACTTTCTATGATCACACTAGCAACTTCATATCTTAATGGGTTTTGATCAAACAAAGTATGATGTTACCTCAGTAGAGTTTGTGTTTCAGTGTGTCATCGTTAAACTCACTGTTATTCTTTATAGCAAGTCCATTGTCATCATGCTGACAACTTTGCTCCTGAAGGATTTATTGCCAAGGTTGAGAATGTTTACATGTGGATATAAAAATATACAAAACAATAAAACTCATTTTTAGCTCACCTGCCCGAACGGCAAGTGAGCTTATGCCATGGTGCGGCGTCCATCGTCCGTCTGTCCGGTGTCAACTTTTTACTTTAAACAACTTCTTCTCAATAACCAAAAGGCCTAGGATGATGATATTTGGCCAGTAGCATGCTGGAATCAAGGGCTACCAAGTTTGTTCAAATAAATGACCTTGACCCACTTTCAAGGTCACAGGGGTCAAATATATTAAAATCTTCAAACAACTTCTTCTCGATAACCAAACTGCCCAGGGAGATGATATTTGGCCAGTAGCATGCTTGGGTGAAGGGCTACCAAGTTTGTTCAAATGAATGACCTTCAATTATATTCAAGGTCACAGGGGTCAATTGTTTTAAAAAACCTTTAACTAACTTCTTCTGAATAACCAAAATGTCCAGGGTGATGATATTTGGCCAGTAGCATGCTTATAGGAAGGGCTACAAAGTTTGTTCAAATGAATGACCTTAACCCATATTCAATGTCTCAGGGGTCAAATATGTTAAAACCTTTAACTAACTTCTTCTGAATAACCATGGGTCCCAGGATGTTGATACTTTGCAAGTTGCATCCTGAGATGAAAGGCTATATAATATGTTTGACTTTCAATCACAGGGGTGAAATGTTTTTTTAAAAAAATAAGAGGTTCTTTTGAATGAAATTTAATTATAAATACTGATATTTTGCCTGTAGCTTTATTTTAGATCGCTTTTAAGGTTACAAGTATGAGATTTATACCAGGTGAGCGATGTAGGTCCATTGGGCCTCTTGTTATGTATCTAGATGATGTTTTGAATAACATTGACTGCAATTTTGTGTATTAATTAGGAGGCTATGGAAGCTACGCAGAACAGCGAACTG